CTTGTACAGTTTTTGTCTATCTGGACACCATGTAAGAGGTCTATCATTGTGCACAAACTTGGTGAATATAGTTGATTCTGATAAGTTTAACATCCGATTATCATCTCCAAAATCTGACCTTTCTACTTCTGGTCTCCTTTAGATACCTCCTTTCAGGTACCTTCTGTTAGTTCCTATCAGGTCTAATGGTACATGTTCTTATTCTTAGGACTTTCTTACCAGTTCCTGTCCTGAGTCCTGTTGTTATTATCTATTTAGTTAAAGACTCTGCTGATTCTGCCTGTCTGTCCTTCATCGGGGTCCTGACCATACCACTCAATTGAGCTACAAAAAATCAAAACAATACAAAAGATAACAACAAATCTCTCACTAAGGCCACCAGCTTTGTTAATGAGATTTGTTTCATAGATATGGTTTAAGATACAAGCAGACGAAATGAGTTTCCTCTGTAGCATAGGGCAGAATCAGTTTAGAAAAATGGTGAGTCAACTGAGGTGTTTCAAGCATCTGTTTTGGATGCCTCATGGATAATCCTCTTTTAAGGTTTTTCTGTGTACATCCCAATGGAAGGAGTCCCCCAGGACGACCCAAAACTCTCTGGAGAGAGTATTTACTCCTTCTCCCCCGGGAAATCCTTGTGTTAACCTAGATGATGGAGGATGATGTCAGGGAGAGAAAAAGAAATGGATCGATGGATAGATAGATGCCTTAAGACATGAAAAGCACTACTTTATGGGCCCTTCTACATTAATACGATTCAATTATAGACTAATGACTGTCCATTACCAGTCTATCTACTAGTCCTGCAGAATTGGTTCATTGTTACATCAAAAGTGGTAACGAATTTATAATTTTTTATCTCTTTTAGTAAATAATCTCATTTCTTGCCTGGATCTAAAAAACCAGTCTACTTATTCTGCTGCTCTCTGCGTCTTTTTGTGGCTGAACCTATTCATGAGAACCCCGTCCAGAAAAAAGGGGGAAGGTGGGTGTGTCCTCAGAGGAGTAGATACATCATGGCTTGGCATGTGTGTAACAGTGTGTGTCTCCTTTGTCCTGTCTTTTCCTATTTATCAGTGATGGATGAATATGTGCACAAGCGGAGCATCTCTAATTTTCTCATGAATTTAGTCTGGAAACAGGTGTAAAAATTTGTGATTAGATGCTTAGATGTTTTTTTTTCCAAACCATTGTTCACATGATGCTGTTCTACTCTGAGTAAAAGTATGTTTGCATTTGAAAAAAAAAAAAAAGGACACTCTCTCAATGAACATTTAAATATATTTTGAATATATACATATTATACTGAATGCTTTTTGAAACAATTCCAACATAAAGCCAAATTTCCATTTTATTTTTCATAAGAAGTGACAAATAATTACCCATCTGACCTTCAAGTAGAATCAATATATCTGTAGGGTTTATTTGCGGTCAGCAGCTTTGGATGTGGTGTTCAGGTGCTGTTTGAATTCTCACTTAGACTTCAGACAACCTTATTTTTGTTGCTGTTGACCAACTTATAGTTAAAAAAATAATTTTATTATAATTATTATTATTGCTTACGTGTTTTTAGAATATTTTTCCCTTGAGAGCAATGTGTAGTCGGAATAATAACTCTAGATACATAAAGGATATATATATATATATATATCGATACACATGGTCATTCAAAGAATACACTTCTTTTAATAAAAGACGACTTACTTAGATTTCAGTTTTTGCAACGTCATTCTATTGTCACTGAAATATGTTCTCTAATAATCGATTTAAACTTGACTCCATCCTTTTATCATCTCTATAGCATGATGACATTGTCATGATTGCAGCCATGGTAGCTTCTCTGATTACTCACCTTATTCACCTGCCATTCCCTCCTTGCTCTTTAATTATTGTTTATCTTATTCACCTGCTTCCTCTGCTATATATATATATGGTTCAGCCCGACAATCGGGACCAGATCGTTATTTGTTTATTTCTTAGTTTATTTGTCTAGTCTTTGTTTATTCTTGTTATGCTTTCGTGTCAGTTATGTTAGATTCCTGAGTCAAGTTCATAGTTCATGTCCTGAGTCTTGGAGGCCAGATGAATCAGAAGGTTTGTCTCCTGTCTCTTGGTTGTGTCCTGGCTCTTCTCTGCTGATTCCTCAGGGTTTTGGCTCGGAATGTGGGGAAGGTCATTTTTAGTTCCTGTAAGCCTAGCTCTAAGGTGGAGACCAGTTTAAAGTTCGGCATTTATCCTGGTAACAAGTCTTGTCTATGTTCCTCTCTACCGCCGAGCCTGCCTGTCTTCATCTGCGCGTGTCTGTCTGAGCACGCTGCTGGACTCGTATAACCCTGAACCTACCTGAATGCTCTGTGGATTCCTGGAACCCTAGATCTGTCTGTTCCTGTTTGGATCAGAACCCCTGGTCAGGCTACGGACTCCTGGATCTTGGAACTGTCCAGTTCTGAACTGTTTCTCTGACCTGGATTGGTCTCCTGCCTGCTGACTGGGGTTGCTGCTTCAGGTACACTTTGGACGGCTCCTGGCCGCATCTCGTTTGGCAGTCCATTGACTGGATCTTGCCTTCCTCAGAGAGGATGGACCGAAATGTTAAACCAGAGTGCCAGTGATGGGTTGCATCCCACCCCCCTGCAGCCGCTGCGGTCCGTTTATCCTCAGCAGCCCGCGATTCAGTTCTGTAAAACTTCTGATTGTCTGACTTGCCTTGAATACTGGGTCCATCTGTCCCGCTTTGTGAAAGCCAGCTTTAGTGTTCTGCCGTTTTTGCCTAAAGGTTGGTTGAGTTTTTGTCTTGTTTGCACAGGAGATGTTTGCCTCTTCTTCTACATGCCTTTATCTTTTTTTTGTCATTTTTTCATTGACTTACAGATTGTCCATCTTGGGGACAGATTTTTTCCTCCAGGGCTATGATTTTTTTTACTTTTCACCAGAGTTTCCATTTGCCTCTTGGTTGCTTCTTCATTCAGTGCTCTGAAGCTGTCAGTCAGTTTTTAAATATTTTTTTATGAATTTAATTGTACAAATATATATATGATCATCTTTTATAGAAACTCCTAGTAAAATCCATTAAGATTATGGCTGTTACATGACCAAATTGGTGATGAAAAGGCTTCAGTTTTGCAAGAAATGAAAAAAAACAAACAAACAAAAACAGAATGTCAAAATGTGTTTGGAAAAGCATTACTGTAATGTTGAATTTTCTACATGTTTAATAAACATGACTCATCTATGTTTAATGGACCTTTAAGTCGTTTCTAAAGCGTGAAGGCTGCAGGGTCATCTGTGTTAATTACTCTGTTTTCTGTTGCAGCGCCATCAATATTTCATCCAGCTGAAGCAATAAGATATGATGGACTCCATTAGCTGCTGTTCATTGACATTTTCTGTGCATCTGCTAATCTTCCCGCAGGAACATAAAACTTAATGGACTAATAAAACCACAATATTCAAATAAGGAGAAATATAACACTGTTATTTCTAGGGATGCATCCATATGATAATATGGGAAAATATCCG